TTCTGCAAAACCAAAAACTGGATTCATCCCTAAATTTTACCTGAACTGAAACTGAACTTAAACAGAGTTTTACATACGGTAAGCCAGAGAACTACTGTATATGATACCGCCCCTTGACAGATGTATTCAGTGCCAAGACCATAGATGCTTCTGGACTGCAGAGGCAAGTTTGATCTATGTAAGTCATATAAATGTAAATAAATCATAAATAAAATCATATCACACCCATTCTTTATTCTCTCCACTGGGTAACAGTGTGTTTTAGAATAGATTTTAAACTTTTGACATTTGCTTTTAAAGCCCTGAATGGCCTGGCCCCTATTTATTTAACGGAATTACTACAACTTCACCAATATCATCAAGCACTTAGGTCAGATACTTTTAAAAGTCCCCAGATTGAGATGTAAGCAATGGGGTGACTGTGCTTTCACTGTAGCTGTTCCTAAATTGCGGAACTATCTTCCACTTGAACTTTGCTCCTTCACTGACCTTGCTCTCTTTAAATCCAAACTAAAGACTTATTTACTTTGGCTTTTGGTTTCTAGTAGAGTTTTACTGGTTTTATTGGTGTTGATCACTTTTATTTGTTGTCTGTTATATATGTACTGTATGTAAAGCACTTCAGTCAACTTTCAGTTGTTTTTAAGTGCCATATAAATAAAGATTGGGTTTAATTGAGTAACCTCAATGGAGAGTGCTAGTATGTGTAACAGTGGCATTTAAAATAGTGTTTAATTCTTCCTGATCGAACCAGTTTTAGTTCATTTTACCTAAACCTACTACTGTTAGGGTGACTTATTTGCTATGTTACATACTATCATCTGCAAGATTCCCAACAGTATATTCATTTTGCATGACTTTTCCTGTGTTTGGTATGTTTGGTTGTTTGCAAATGCACATGTTTCTTTGTAGTTGATAATGTGAGTATAAATAAAGAAACCAAAGTTAGTGCTTAAGATCTCTTAAATTAGAACAAATTTAAAACAAATAGTGTTCAAAATGAATCAAACCTTGTGTACATACAGTATATTCAATATGTGTAGTAGGAAAAAAGTCAGGAAAACATTCAATATGCAGAAGCAAAATACACAAATAATTAGGATTGATGACAGTATACAGTGAAGACTACAGTAATGTTCCATGTGGATTTGGCACACATTAATTTTCTTCGACATCTCAGCTTGTTAGAATTTGCTTCTGAGCTTCATGGGAATCAGGGAGGCATCTTTTGCTTGTATAGCAAAAAGACTGAGAAAGACACAACTGTTTATCATTACCCATTCTCCCTCTTTCTGTTGGCTGGCTTACTAGGATTTCCCAGCCTCTGTATAAGCAGACATAAGTAATTAATCCCTGATACTGAGCTGAGTGTGGGGTGATGATTTGGGACAGCACCATGCAAGGGGGGATTCTTAACATCCAAATAACTCCTGACAGGTGGCTGTGTCCCCAGTCAAGCCACTGCATGCATATTGGAACCAGCCACAAGAGGCGTTTATTTAGGGTATCACAAACTTGCTGACTGCTTTGTTTTCCTAATTGGTGTGGAATTTAAAGGAGCCATCTTAATCATGTTGTTGTTAATTATGCTTTAGGCCCTACAGCATCTTGTTGTTGCTTGTTTGTTTGTTTGTTGTGGAAAACCAGGGAAGAGGAACAGATAGTAAGTAACAATCTATGTTTAGTTAGTTAAAAGCTGAGAAAGGCAGGCTCCAAAAAAGTCCAAATTAATTATGGTCTCAAATTGCAGGCTCAGCATGCCTGATGCAGGCAAGCCTCTATAATGAAATCTGTATGAACCAGAGATGAATTGGAGGGCTGCTAATTTGGTAACGTGGAAAGAAATGGCTTGCTTCCTCTTGTAGACCATCATTCTCTGGCAGTTTTTGTCCATATCTTACTCAGTGTGTATTTCAGCCATTTCTTTCTCGCAAAAACTGTTGCTTTTTGTCTATGTGTGGTTCTCTCCCTCTCTGTTCCTCTGCTCCTTTCCCTTGCTCCCTCCGCTGATTGCTATTCATGCTTTGGAGACAGCCTGAGCCCTAGAGCTCAAAGAGTTCAGAATGAGGAAGCTGCAATAAAAGAGCAGAAATGTGAAGGAAAAGAAGCCTGAAATTCAGTTACAGTTACCAGATGTACATTTAAAAAAATGGGCCATTTTCATCAAAATGAAGGTTGCCAGAACCCTGTGCTCTTATGCATCAACACATGAGGTTGCTAGATGTAACATCAGAAAGAACACGTTATCATATTTTTTCCCAAACACTCTGTGTCCCTGTTTTTGTGTCACTCATATGTCACCTCACATCCTTCAAGCCTCAAAGTGGGTTTTGTCTCAGATAGTCAGGCTGTTTATCCCTTACAGGTTGAGCACATCTGACCATATTATCAGGAACTTAAAAATGTTATATATATGGTTATAGGTATATAGGGGCTTAGCTGCCTAAGATACAGTATGTGCTCTTACCTGCACTATCAGAGATGATAAAAAGCATCGGTTTTAATGTACTATATGTACTTAGCCTGTAGGTATTTTTGACTACAAGAAAACTCAGTATAGTACTATTAAATATTTAAAACAACAAATACAATGTCTATTATTCCCACCTATCAAATCTTTTGCAGTCTGCAACTTCTGTATCAGGAGTTGAGCCCTAAAGATATATTGACACACAAAACATGTGCACAAAAACATATTAATGTATATCATATAATTGGATTATAATTACTGATACATCATTGTGTACATCACATTTAATGTTGCAGCTGGTAAAGGGGGATCTGGTTTTAATCAGCTTACTGTATATGCTTTTAATTTGAATTACTGCTGGGTAGCTTGTGAATTTCACACCAGAGATCAATAAAGTCCATAACCATACTGTATTTTTGTATTAATCAAGATTCTGAAAATAAGTAGCAACTAAGGCTATCAAATAAATGTAGTGGAGTACAAAGTACAATATTTGCCTCTAAAATATAGCGAGTATGAAGTAGCAGGGAATTCAAATACTCAGGTAAAGTACAGATACCTCAAAATTGTACTTAAGTACACTACTTGAATAAATTCACTTAGTTAGATTCCACCACTGGCATATGTTTCACCTAACTCATACATACAAACATGCATGTGCACATAAACTCCAACACACAACCACTGGAAAAGACCCTCTGGAAAATATTGTTTACTGATATGGGGATTGGGTTTAAGAGCGGAACACTGAGCATTTCAATCTAAACAGTAAACACTCTTAATTGGATTGTGTGCTTAAGTGCTTTGATGTGAATCCTCTAAGGACTGTATATTATTAGGCCTAATTGATTCTGATACATGTTTACATGAGTTTAGAAAATCTGTCGAAAACAAATGGTGTCATCATGAATCTAATAGCATCATGTGAGTGGTTTCATCATGAATTCAGTGGAACATTGTGTCACTGCAGTGTCAGAGTTCAGTGGTCACTCAGCAGTCGGTAGGCTGCTCTGTCTGAGTGAACATCTTGTGGAAAACACACCAATGACTCTCCTCTTGTCACAGATGAGGCCCAGAGGGTGTGATTGGAGTCGAACAACAGGGCTCACCATCACCCCAAGGTTGACAGGTGGAGCACTGGTCATCTGTTTCTGACCTTGTTCACCATCTACCATCATCTGCCTCCAGAGAGTTCGTGTCAAGCGATTCAACCTCATCCTCCTGGGATATTGGTCTGCTTCAGAGTCCCTGGGAAATCTCAGCCAGCACAACATAAAGTAGTCACTTTACAGATAGACAAGCCACCACCACAGTGCGTCTTAGACAGGTTGAATGTGTGTGTATTTATCAGGCATGTGTGCTGTATAGAAACCAACAAGTCAAACAGGGAAAGTCTACTCCATCTTTAACAACAGACAGATGGTGTTTGATGTGCAGGAGCAGAGGATTAGGTCTGTAGGTTGATTGAGGGTGGATGCCACCTTTTGGCATCGTTCTCCCCTGGGTGACAACTACGGTTAGAAAATAACACAAGGTGCTTGGCCAAGCGGCCGTTCACTTCTTTGGTTTCACATCACCTGCAATTTGAATTCCATTACTTGCCATGCCACACTTCAAATAAAGCTGGGGCCTATTAATTACCAAAGTATGGGTTCAGGGTAAAGGTGAACATGCAATTACAGAATTAAATCAAGCCCCTGTTTAGCTTGTCAGTCCTGACAGAAATAATTTGGGTGAATTATTAAATGCTTCCACTGCTCTCAGCTGCCTCGTTGTCGGCTGAGACATATCCAGCTGCAAGAATCTCAGCTCTACTCCTTTCTCTCCCATATAAAAGTATTAATTGTGCTTCTTTAAAATTAACCTTAACCTGTACGTGTTTATGATAAACAAAAGAAAAAACTCACTGTTACCTCTGTGTGTAAACTTCTAAATGTTTTCTGTGTTTTTTGACCTGTTAAATGAAAGAGGTCAAGATTAATGAGCTCATTTTAAATGTGTGGTGGTTATGGTAATCATGTGGAAATTATGTATCATTATCAGTTTTAGGTCTAGTGAAGTTTTAATTAGGTACCTGTTCAGGTAATTTAAAGTCCTGAGGTGATGTGATTAATTATGATAGGATTGCAAAATAGATAATATTCAAATTACACCAAAGGATTTTACATAGGCCTATTTACACCTTTTACATTTTTGCAACCCTGCCTCTACAAACTGTTTTTTTTGCAGCAGATGAGAGTTAAAATTCAGTTCAAAAACGATAAATATTTTTAGGACTCTTATCTTTACTGTTCATTCTGCCATGTTTTAAATACATGTTTCACTTAACTAAAATGGAAAAACAACAAAAAATGTGTTGTTTTGATGAAATCTGCTTCTAGCAAGCATTTTAACTAACTGCCTGTAATGAAGCAACTTGCCAGAGGCTGACTAGATTCAGTGGCTGAGTTTTGGTCTGTGTTACAACCAGCTGTTTGTAATTAGTAAATCATGCCAGGGCAAGGTTTTGGCCAGTCAGGGCGGCTTTAAAAGAAGTCCAGTGGCAAGCATCTCGCTAACGGCATCCATGAAGTTTATGTTGCTCTAACTGCAAGGATGTTTCTACCACTGGTGGTTTTTCTCAGGTATTTTAAACTAGAATGTTTCCTGTGGTTAAAAACCAATCATTGCTGCTCAGCACTTTGTCTCACAGTGTTTATTGTCTTTTGCAGCACCACTGTGCTTCACTCTGTGTCAGCTGGAGGTGTGTATTGTGCTAAAACAGCAAGAGGTAAGTTGTGGACTTTTGACTGATGTTACTGCTTGCTTGTAATTAGTGGGTATAGCTGGCACTTCACAACAATGAAATGGCAAACAAAGAATAAATACAGCTTTGTAAGTGCTTCTGCTTTTGTTATAGCCCGTGCTGCTGCCTTGGGTTTGAATTACCCTGGAGTGTATGGAGCCCCTGATCTTCATGTTCCTCACCATGCAAGGCGCCCAAGCACAAAGCCATTAAGACCCCATTTATATAAAAATACTCATCTTGAACCAGCTGAGAGTGACTCTCACATGGCCTACTACAAACGATATTATCCAGGGGTGAGATTCTTGGACAACAGGAGACATGAACACGCTCGCCTCAGGGCTCCTGAATTCCCATTTCAGCCGAGCTATGGCACTTATAACCCAATTCAACATGAATACGCCAGCAAACAAGCGTTCGCCCTTCCCAAAGGACAGTTAGTCAGAAACCACAAGTCTTATTTTGAGGGGGTCAAGCATGTTTCCCCACCAAAATGGGCAGAAGGCCCTAGCCAGTCCGACCATGTGAACTGGAATCATCGAGGTCACACTGGGCCGCGATCATTTGGCTACAATGAGCACGGCCTTGTTGATGTCCCAAACAGATATTCCATGCCTGTGAGTGGACACTCCCCACCTTGGAGCAACAGTCATGGTGCTCACCAGAGGGGTCTAACTGGAAGAGACTTGGGAAGAGAAGTTCCTGTCCTTGCTTCATCTCATTTCATCAAAGGCCACGGTGGAGCGATGACTAGCCAAGATCCTGTGTCTGCTAGATGGTTGAGGTTTAGGTTTCCTGGGCATCCTGCTCAGCCCCTACACAGAAACCTTGGTGTCAAACAGTTTATTCAAGGTAACCCACCCTTTTCTTAGATGTCTGAAAGTTAGTGACAGAGCTCAGTTGTCTTCTCAAATTGAGTACCTATAAGGAGTTAAAGTTAACAGGGAAGCATTTTGTAAAGAAACTTTTTTTTACTGTACAACTTGTTTTTCCTCAACCTGTAACTCTGAAACAAGTCGCATTATGTATTTGCCCTTGAATAAAAAATTTACTAACATAATTTTCAGTGTGTGCTGCTTTTTTTTTTTTTTTTTTTTTTTTTAAATCCACCTTATGAAAGTTTCACTGAGGTCTGGATGTTACCAGAGTGCCATCTGTTGGTTCAAATGGGTAAATATCATTTTGGCACATTTTGTACACAGGTGCTGCTTAACCAAAGGTCAGCCTTTGACAAATCCTGTAATCTGTTGACAATTTGTTTTGCAAATGCTACTAGTTGTGCTAATATCTCCAAACATCCCTGGTCTTCTGGTGATATGTTTTAAGAGAATAAGGTGCTAAAGTGCAGCTTTAGATTTTAAATTTCATGGTCAGAAAATATTGAACATTTGTCTTTATCTGAACCTAGCTTTATCTTGCCTAGACAGGTAAGGTTGTCTATGAAGTGACCATAAATCAATCGGGTGCTAGAAATTGAGTCGGCTATGAGCTCTCCAGAACACACGAGGAAAAGCATGACAGAGAAAAGTCAAGCAATTAACTGTTTATGGGGGAGTGGGAAGGAGCGCAGTGAGGAGTCACTGTGCACAATAGATGTCAAGTTGGGCAGAAAATAGAAGTTTGAAACCTGCTCAGAGGACACATTTGTTATGCTAAAGTCAAAACCTAGAAGAAAATGTTGCATAAATCATTTTAATCTGCATTAGATGATCCAAGTGCCATAAACTGAGTGGAAAAGCACTACTTAAAGGGTTTCAGCTGCTCTTCATTGCTATTGATTGCTGCACATTAACACCATGTGCCACCCTGTAGTTGTTCACCTCTTTGCCCTCAATGATTTAATGATCTTTGATACTGTTTGAAAAAGGAAAGCAGGCAAAAATGAGACCAGGTGGGAGACTTAAGTGTGTGTGTAATCAGCATGGGGGCTGTGGCAACCTAAGATGAACCTGGGCAAGCCCTACATGGAAAGCAGTGCAGCAGGTAGAATTTATTTACAGCACATGAGCTGAGGTATGTTTTACTTGAATGACAAAAACTAAGAACATTTACAAAAAGATAATGCAACCAAACACATTATAGCTTTACAATAAATAACATGTTCTTGAGAGGTTTGTTTGATTTTTAGGATTGTTGTACTGTTTCCTTTTGTTATTCCATATTTTCCACCTGACACCTTTATTACTATTGTAGCGCAAATCCTTAAGTCTCTATGAAAAAGTTAAATCAACACCTATTTCACAGTCTCAACAAAAAGTGAACAGGTATCTGTTGTGTAGAATTATATTTCACCCTTTTCCGTTTGTACACCTTCTGTACTTATCTGCACTATTGAAAAATCCAAAGGCTTTCAGAGTCTCTTCCTTGCTGCCTAAACTACTAGCTTGAGAAGCAAATGTGTATACCTGACTGTAAGTCAGTCTTTTATCATGGCTGCCTACAGAATGTGAAAAATGTGCAAACACTAAAGTGCTGTATTTTCCTTTACACCCCTGAACAATGGTTATATTTGTGAGAGGGTGATAACAACCAATGATCACCAGCAAAACTGCTCTGGAGTTGGCGACTATACTGGGCAGCAACAAGTAAATAATGTTGAATACCACTCAAATACATGCCACACTGACAGTTACAGTCCTCTCATTCCTGTTGATTTTTTTCAGTTCATCGCTGAATAAGGTTCTGAGCTCTCTGGTTTCACATGCTGGTGCTGCCTCGTGTGCTGGCATCAGTTCACTGACCAGTTGAGTTTTTATGTCAGTCAGATCATTGTTCACAGACCAACACACTAAAAGTTAGCAAAGTCTATGGAGAAAGTCATGCCATTCAGCTAAATGGAGCTGGTACTCTTCATGTTGTCAGCTTTAGGCTACAGAGTTTTACAAGTGTTGCTCACAAATCGGTGAAATGTCTTTAAATTGTCTTTGGATGTCATCAGCTTTAAAGTAATTTATGCAAACAAAGATTACCCACACATACTTTATCAATGCATGGGTAATACAGTTAAGGCCAGAGGCTTTTTGCATATATTTTATGTCGGTGTGCTCAGACTTATCTTTAGTTTTTAGTTTATTTGATTATGAGAAAGAAGACAGAGTACATAACACAAACAGAACAAGACTTTTCCCACTATGGTCCTTGATGTAGCGAATATGCAGAGCCTAGTTGAACTGCTGACACAATAAATACCTGTGTTATCATCAGTAAACCATCCTAAGTCAAACATTTAAAAAAGACCTTTCCCAAAGGCCTTGACCGGTGGTTAATTATTTTAATATTATAAAAATCATTACAAGACAAACATCTACCCATGTTAATAATTCTGCAAGCACAAGTCAGCAGCACTATTGTTAGTCTGATGGGCATCAGTTCCCTCTACACTTAGAATTATTGTCTTTGTGAGTGTGAATATTATGTTACGCTTTAAGTTGTAGTTCTATGCAGGGCAACTATCTGATCTGTTGGAATTATGAGATGTCCTGGGTTCAAGCCCCCCAAAAATCTGACTTGTTCTGAGAGGTAAAAACAAATACTTAACACTGTTAATGTTGCATTGATGAATCAGATCATTGTCATGGATGACAATCTGAGTAAATGTACACACAAGCTCGTTCACAGTGCAATCATTCACTCATACTGGTTGTTAATTAATAATGGTTGATAATTGCACAGCTATGTGGAAATGTGGCAGAACACAATGCTGATCCTCAGACAAACCTAGTTCCACAGCTCTATGTGATGGAGAGGTTCTCTAACTTGCTTAAACACCAGACTCAGTTGCAGTTCAGCTGTGGATCACTTGAATCTGTGCTCATTTAGCACAGGTTCAAGTTTAACTGTTAAACTCTTGCAAGTTCTGGTTTAGGCAAACTTGCCCTAAACCACAGATAAGCTCACTAAGCTAAATGACAGAGCAGTAACTCAGCTGTGTTTTTTCCTGCTTAGCAAAACTGTGAGTGAACGGTTGTGCATGGCAGAACAGCAATTACGTTGACTGTTGCAGGCTGACAAGTAAACCAACACAGAGCAGGAGCCGGGATGTCTTGTGTGTTTTAGAGTTTGTTTAGCTCTGAACAGTGAGTTTTCTTTGAGCTTTTGGAGGAATGTGATGTTTGCTCATTAAAGGTATTTGGGAGGACACATTTCCATTTCACTCATATTACTGAGGAAGATTGTGCACTTACCCCACTTCTATATATATAGCTCTGCTATGTCCTGTGTGTGCTACACTACATATGTTGTAACACCTCTTTCAGAGAAGGTGTGCCTGTTTTCTTTTACACAAGCCCGGAGAGAACCGAGAACATTTGCGCTTGGGTGTCTGTGTGTTTTGTAATGTGTGTGTTTCCTCCTTGTGTTCCTGTCCTCTCCTCTTGTCGTCCCACACAGAGTTTTCAGTGAGCCCACTATAGCCTGGCAGCACAACTGACCTGTGGTAATGTGGGAAATCAATAGTCAGTTTCATTTTGCAGCCAGTGTGTGACAGGAACTAGATAGGAGTTGATTGGGTGCATGTAAGGAGCTGGAGTCCGAGCTTGCCTAACCCCTCACTTCTCTCTCTCTCTCTCTCTCTCTCTCTCTCTCTCTCTCTCTCTCTTTCACAGACACACATTGTCTCAGTACCTTGTTCATCCAACCCTACTGGTAGACACTGGTGGAAAGTAACTAAGTACATTTACTCAAGTAGTGTACTTAAGTAAAATTTGGAGGTATCTGTACTTGAGTATTTTCATTCACAGCTACTTCATACTTTGACTTCACTACATTTAGAGGCAAATATTGTACGTTTTACTCTACCGCATTTATTTTATGACACAATAATGTGTCAGTAATTATAATCCAATAATATGATATACATTAATGTTAAATTTGTCATTCCGCATAATGAGTACTTTTTTGATGCTAATACTTTTGTTCTTTTGACAGGACTTTTACTTAAGTAAGGCATCTGAGTACTTCTTCCAACACTGTTGGTAGAAACAAACAGTGGTGCAAGATGCCACACTCCATGATCTACAACAACTAGGGTATGCAGGCAAATTATTTGGTTTGAATGACTGTGGTGAAACAATATGATAGATGACAGACACATTACAATAGAGATATACAGCTAAATCAGTGTTGAATTTGTATACATTCATGTGAATTAAATGCATATGACAGTACACTTTGTTCAGTACATATGCAAACTGCATTCAGAGACATTATGAATAAAACAGTGATGGTAGGAGCAGAAGAAACACATGCACCTTCCACACTGCCTCTTCTCAGGACATATGGTTCCCCCATCTGGGAGCTAATGTGGGTAGCTACTACATCACCTAAACTGCAGGCTACATGTCAGTTTCAGAAGTAAGTGTACATTTTTAGTACTTTTAGTAACACCAGCGGTGTTGCTCAAAGGATGCAGTGTCTGTCAGTGGTCTACACTGAGATATATCAACAAGTGTTTAGCTGGATTGATTGAAATTCTGTATAAACATTTATGGTCCTTGGTGGATGAATCATCTTGAATTTGGTGATCCCCTGACCTTCCCTATAGTGCCACTATGTCGTTGACAATTTTGATTCTGAGTAACATTTCTTGACAACTTTAAGATACATTGTCACATATTTTGGTGCAAACATTTACCCTCCCCTCAAATGAATTGTTATAACTTTGTGATTTCTTTCCATTTAGCACCATCATGAGGCAATTTGTCTAGGACTTCTGTTTAAAACCACATGCCTGCAAAAATAATGACATTCCCGTCAGCCTCAGTTGAAGTTTGTTTTTAGTGCTAATTAGCAAATGTTATCATGCCAACACACTAAAAAAAAATTTGAACAGTAAATATTAAGCTTAAAAATGTTTATATTTAGTAACTAAACAATGTCTATGGTGCTATCCTAGGGTACCATCCTCTTTTCATCTTCAGCTTTTTTACTTGGCAGTGTGACATTTGCTTCCAGAATTTGCTGGTATTTAAATGAATCTATTCTTCCCTGTACCGATGAATGTTCCCTGCAACACAAGCCCAAAGCATGATTGATCTATGCCGATGTTTAGCAATTTAATAACCTTCCTCAAGGTCTTTTGCAGTCAAACAGGGGTTTTGATCTGCCTTTCCAGCAATCCAGCGAACAGTTCTCTCATAAAGTTTTCTTGATCTTCTTATTTATTATTTATTTTTTAAACCTCTTTTCCTAATGCACATTCACTTGCTTGTTGATATGGATGCACACATTGAGAGCCGCTGTACCTCGTGTGTCCGACACACCTGGCCAATAAAGCTGATTCTGATTCTGATTCCAGACCTCGACTTGACCTTCATTGTTACTGTTAATTGCCATTTCGTATTTACATTCTACACTAAGGAAACTGCTACCTGAAAAAGCCTTCTCCTGCTTTGTGGGCATCAATTATTTTAATGTTCAGAGTGCTAGGCAGCTGCTTGGAGGAGCCCATGGCTGCTGATTGTTGGTCAAGGTTTGTATCAGAGTATTTATAAAGCTTTGAAATATGCATCACCTCACTTTTCCTAATGCTTATTGTGAAGAACCCAGAGACCTAACAAGGTCTGTGCCTTGATAGTGGTTAAATAGGAGCTCATATCTCTTAGGATGCCCAAACCTTTGCATGGTGCTCCATTCCTTTTGGTTTTTGTTTTTTCTCACCCTAAAATTGTACAGAGCAAAAATAATATATTAATCAAGCCTAAAATTTTGAAAAAAATGTTTCATTTTTAACTTTATTCCTTTTGAAGATCAGATCATCTTCTGCTCACTTAAAGCTACTGTATGTAACTTTTTTCAAAATATTGTGGTTGTAGCTATCTGCTCCATAACTTGTCTTAATGTGGAGAGGTGCTGTTGAAGCCTCCTGTGACACAGACTCATTGAACAGCACTGGCAGCAGTGCAGAGATATCAGCTTCTACAAGGGTTTGAGTGGGATTGACCTCTCTAACTATTCAGAGAGATTTTTAGTTATTTCTGCTTGATCAGTAAAGTTTTGTTGCATTTTCATTTATTGTAATTTCATAATGACAAATATCTGAAGAGCTGGGCAGATCTGGGCAGAGCATGGCAGAACGTAGTCGACCATAGTAGAGCATAGTGGAGCAGGGAGAGGGAGCGCTGGGCTGAATGAAGTGGGCGATCGCCACATATTGATTTTAACTTGCATGGTTGAGTT